ACTGAGCTCCGGTTGCTTACTAAAATGAGCTGTAAGCTAGGCAACCATTAATGCCCTTTCTCCCTGTCCTATCACAATGTCCCTATTCCCTGACTCATGCATCCTGAAACTGTGTGTGTGTATCTCCAACTCCTTATTTTTTTTTTATTTTTAAGAGAGTAGTACGTGAGAAACAAACAAACAAAAAACTAGAACAGTAGCAGCATACCAGTATCACAAACATAAACAAAGCAAAGCAAGAACATTCAAAGTGATACAGGGTCTCAAGACAAATTAATACAAATCAACAGTGGTTGTTACATTGCACATCGCTATCCTCAACTACATTGCTCAGATTATCAGATTTAAGAATGAAAGACTGCTCAAACCATTAAAAAGAATAAGAAAATAATTCTTCAGTAAAACATTAGAGATAATACAGAGTTTCACTAGACAAGATGGTAGGCGTTCACCATTGTAATTCCATTGCATATTGGTACCTTCAAATCAGTTGCTCAGACCACCAGACACAAGCATGCAAAGTCGATCAGAACATAAAAAATTGTGAGCATTAGCTGTTCATTTCAATACACCATCAGACAACAGCATTACAGTCATCGCAGCTATTCATATATATATTTATGTTTTGCCTTCCTTCTTTCTTTCTTCTTCTTTCCCTCATCCCAGTCGTTCTTTCCTTTGAGCAATTTCTTTCCCTTTCCTATCATCTATTGTACGTTTTGAGTTTTACCCAGTCTTTCAGGTTCCTACACCAAGGAGACAATATGATATTTACACATGTGGGTCCGATTTATTTCACTTATGAGTATGGTCTCTAGTTGCATCCATTTACCTACAAAAGCCTCAAGAAGTTTTGTCTTTTTTAATAGCTGAGTAATACTCCATTGTATAAAAGTACCATAACTTTTTTATCCATTCCTCAGTGGATGGGCATCTGGGTTGTTTCCCTCCAACTCCTTATTTTAAGGTTTGCTTTTTTGAGGGAGGGGAGCTTAAACTAAGACAAGTATACAACATGCACACAGGAAAATGGGAGGTGGTCAAAAAAGTGGTCGTTCCACTCTAAGCCATCCTGTTCAGACCTTCCATGTAGCATGCACAGGAAGATGTTACCTTACAACATTATGGAAGCGGGGCTGGGGATTTAGCTCAGCGGCAAAAAAGCGCCTGCCTGGCAAGCGCAAGGTCGTGAGTTCGGTTCCCGGTACCGGAGAAAAACAAAAAAAAAAAAAAAAAAACATTATGGAAGCAAAGGCAAGTTCAATCACTTCAGGTGAGAAGCTCTATAATTCAGGGAGAAACAGGCATTGTCAAGTATAACACAAAGACTGTCTTTCTTCAATGACATGCTTGGGAAATAAAAATGGGGTCTTAATATATAAGAAGCTAAGTATCTAGAGCAATGACTGGCCTGAAGTAAGTATGTAATAAATCTTCCAAAAATTATGTTGAGTAGAACATATTTTTCTTTTTAGATGGAATTTGATTCCCTGCAGTCTGACAACTTTCCACCTGAAAAATGTTTGAAGTATTACTATCTCAAGTGTTTTAACTTCTACTTATATGTGAAAATCGTTTTTCCATTCAAATGCACATCTACTTTACTTTCTATGTCATTAGCTTGAAGTCAGTTAACTGGTCTGCCCAAAGTCCCATTGTGGAGAGAGATACTGAAACCAATAGTCCTGCTCATGGCTCAATATCCTTCCTATTATATTACACTCATCCTTCAAAAGATGAACTAGGAATCCTCCCACTTTCCCAGTAACTTTCATCTGATAAACAGTACAAGTACCGTCATTCTAAAATACTCCAATGAGATGCACATTTTAGCTTTCAATAGCTTTGTGGACAATGAGGAGGCACAGAAAGGGGAAGTCTCACTGGACTGAGCTGCTGCAATAGTGCACTAACCCTGCCTGCTGAGAATCAGAGAGAACAAAACCTTATCTTCAGTTCAAATATGCAAGACGAGAGTATACAAAGACTATGTTTTTTCTTTCTCATTTCCAGTAACCTTTGCTGTTCTCTACACTAACCACCATCTGCCCAAGATTGCTTGTGCCACATTCCCTGACGGCACGATAATTTTTTTTTATATTATAAGAGCTTGTTGACAATAAAATAAGAGACTCAAACAGATCCAGAGACATTGCACTTACAAAATTAAATTAATTAAATACGATTAACAAATATAAATGACTCATTCAAACATCAGGTTGCGATGGCCAGGAACTCTTGATCAACAGTAAAAGCCTTAAGTGTGTATCAGAAAACCTAAGAAGGTGATGATTTTGATTTTTTGAGATGGATGCAATTTTATAACTGGCTGAACATCCCTAATCCAAAAACTCAAAATGTGAAAAGCTCCAAAACCCAAAATTTTCTGAGTGCCAACATGATGCCACAAGTGGAAAGTACCACACCTGAATTCAGGTAACAGATAACAGTCAAAGCATAGGCACCATAAGTATACTGTATAATCTAATCTGCAGGCTGTGTGCATAAGGTATTCAGGAAACATAAATGAAGTTCACTTTTATATTGGGTCCTAGCCCCAAGACATCTCATAATATATATATGCAAATACGCCCAAATACAAAACAATTTCAAAATCCAAAATGCTTCTGGTCCCAAGCATCTGAAATTATGAAAAAAGCAATTAATATTTTCAACTCAAAATGACAGATAGGTTATTCGGCTCCAGTTAAGTGATTATTTTAAACCAGAAACAAAAACTATGAGAGTATATACTAAATTTAACAATAATGGAAGAATCTACGCATACCCAAGCAAGAATATCTAGTATGGTGATAAGAAGACACAGTACACGTCCATCCGGACAGAAAGCAGTAGTGTGGTCTCTCGCAATGATGGACACAAAGCTGTATGGGCTTGAAATATGAGTGTCTGAAATTGTGTATGTTGAATAACCATTAGTTACTTAGCCAAACGATCATGTTATTTATACGTCTATCCAGTCCTCTAAAATCCTCCCAGTGTCTTCAGGGGGATGACGTAGCTATTTTGCAACCACAAAAGACACAGTGTACGCTCAACAACCATTTATTTTACTCTCCCTGTTTTCCAGGATTAATACTCAAATGCAAGCAAAAAAGCTGTATAACCGTATCACTTATATCATGTTTAATTGCGATAATCCAAGCATATTAATGCCTATTATAAATCTTAGAGAATATGAGGATCCTCTATTACTTGATCTCTGTGAAAAGACTGAGGATTTAGAGAGATGAATGCTTTATTAAAATTTGAAAAGCTTGATCAGCACAATTTACTCTAGATATAGAAAATAGGTTATGATAATCATTTCAACTAGCAATACACTGGCATCAGCCAGTACCCACCCATGAGAATTGGCTCTGTTTTCAATCCCTGTTCAAAAGGACAACACATAAAACAAAACTCCTCATTTTCTATGCCTTTAAATATGTCAAGTTTAAAATATTAGTAAAGGGTAGAACAAATAAAAATATTTTTGGAAACAGAACACACACTAGGTTGATCAACTGGAATATTCATTCGGGCTTTATTACTGCACTGCATTCTTTGAAAGCCTGGCGCAGCCTCCTTGCAATTCCCCACTGTGACCACACCAAGGAAGAGGGTGGCATCTCACAGCAGGGCCTGAACTCACCAAACCCTGGAGACGCAACCAACGTGCTGGGCACTGGGCACTACAGCAACAGATGGGTCTGAGCAGAACTGAAGAAGGTAAGAGAAAATTGAAGGAAATGACGGAGGGAGGCAAGTGCAAACTATTGAAAAGAAAAGCTCAGGAAATTACACTTTGAAAAGATTACAACTAATGTCAAATGTACAAAGAGTGTAGATACAGATGTAGTTTCTTAACAAATCCTGATATAATCTAGTGGGACACAGGATCCTAATCTTTATTTTTAAAAATTGTTTTACCTGAGTTCAATTTCTGGCACCAAAAAAAAAAAAAAAAAAAAAACAAAAAAAACTTCATTTTAACCAATTTACTCTTCTCAAATTGTCACTTAATAATGAAATCAAGTAATTTAAAAAGAAAATATCACATCTCAAATGCAAATGGTTTGCCTGGGAAAATTAATTTTATACAATTTCTAATTCTCTAGTGAGTAACTTTAATCAACAGGCATAGAAAGGAAACACTTCTAAGACTTGGTTTGCCAACCAGTGATCAGTTTCTTGGAAAATGTATGATGGTCTGAGCCATATTCTTCTATCTAGAGCTACAATCTACTCTGTGGAGAAAAGCAGCTCTGCACAGCTCTTATCACATTTTAAAATTCTGTACTTAACTCTGAGTTTATTTAGTGGGTGTTTCTTCCACAGGACTGTACAGGGTGAGGGTGGGGCAACTGGGTCGACATTACTAACAGCTGTGTAACTGATAGAAAGCAGGCTTTCAAAAGTGAATCTAATACTGAATGACTGTACAAGACCAGAGGTCCCCCTAGTCACCCTACTCAACCCCGACACACGAACAACTCTGGGCATTGCTCTGGAAACCAGTAACATGACACTTTTCTATCTTTTTCCACCTCTTCCATACAATCTTCCTTCCACTGTAATCTGGTTGTAATAATGGTAGTTCTATTAGCAATGCTATCACAATGTAAGATAATACCCCACGAGGAAATGAACAAGTTATTGGTGTGTGCATAATTTTTGACAATGGCAAGTGGCTTCTTTTTATCTTACTTTCTAACCAGAATTAAGAAATGGATTATAAAAATAATTGCTCAGAATACGAGGAAGTACTGGGTGGCATAAAAGAGCACTTACATGAAATAAAACCCATAATACAACAAACATGATAAATCACCCCTTTCTAGTTATATATGACAGAATTTAAAGTATAATACAGTATCTCCCAAAAGGCGATTCCTATACATTTAATAGTAACAAATCACCAACAGTCCTGTTTCTTTCTCCATGTAAAATAATCCCTTCACAATCTCATCAGTAAAATGCCAGAAAGCAATACATACATGATGGTGTTAATGCCTGAGAGCTGTTGGAACATTTGTAGGCCACAACCCACAATTAAAGCTCGGCGAGTTGGGGGATAAGTCAGCATTCTGCAGATCACAGGTCCAGCTTTTTTAAAAAAGAAAGAAAAACAAAAAAAGGACACATCTATTATTTTTAGCTTTCATAGTAATTATTCACATTAAGATAAAGTTCCCCAAATCTTGTGAAATCAACACGACTGGGCATTTTAAAATAGAACATATATACTTTTACAGAAACTTGAGTGCAGTATATTATTTCTGAAACAGACTTAGTTTAGTTTTGTTTTTAGTTTAAACTGTAAAAGTGGTAAGAGAGAGTTCAAGTTAAAGCAGTATTTATGGATACTAGGAAGATGTATGTAACTAGAATTCCCAGAATTATTCTTCCTTAAACCCCTACCAGATGTACATCTTAATCACTCTGTTCTTTCACCATCTTTGCAATTAAATATTCTTTAAGATATATCCACGTGGGACTTACAAAGTCACTGGTAAAACTGCTTTAATCAACCAAAAGAATGCATTTATTACAAACAAACAAGGAAAAAAATTCATTCTATTTGATGAAAGCTAAGGAATTTGGGTTTCATATCAGATTCATGATGATTACAATAGATATTACGAATAAGTCACTAAAAAGGTAATATAGGAAAAAGTTAAAGTTGATTTGGGTACACACACACATGCATACACACACGCACTCACAGGGGCAGTTCTAAATTTTCACTAGTACCCAAAGAGGCAATCGATGGTGATTTTCAAATATACAAGGGTTTTCAAAATGGCACATATCCTTTGGCGATTACACTGAAGCTCTAGAATGGTTCTGGAGAGCTGTGGATCTGCTCTACCAAGGCCTCAATTATGGTGACTCCCTTTACCGAAGTCTGTTGTCAGGGCATAATTACTGAAAATGTCCCTTCTGTTCTCAGAAAGGTTCCATTTAGATTCCACTTAACTTTACCAGGCAGAGCACATGGGGTGAGGATTTGTTCCCAAGATCTGTGCTGTTGCTGCTCTCAGAGCAAAGATCTGTGGCCAACAGGGTGCCAGCTGCTCAATTAGAGGCGAAGCTTTGTTACTGAACTGCAAACTAAGTCAAGTAAATTAAAATCCAAGAAGTCTCACTCCTTTAGGAATCTTCCAGAAATTTAATATCCCAATTTGCAGAAATGGAACAGAATATGCTACTGTGTCAGCCACAAATGTGAAAATGGTATGTCAAGCCAGGCCATTAATTAAAACTGAACATCACAGGGTGGAGAATATTCTACCTCTCCATGGTATGATTACAATCACAAAACTTGATTTACTGCAAATGCTTTTGTCTCTAATTGGTACAGGTTAATTTAGAGAAGCACTGACAGGCATTCAAAGCTAAAACTAAATAAAGGGACAACCCATTTAGAAGGTAGGCTGGGAGAATTCAACACACCAAACTGCCTTAGAGTCAAGCAGGTTATATTAAAGACAAATACATTAGGAAAGCTATGTGCAAAGAGAAGTTGAGAGCTTTCTGTGACAATGTTGAAATATATCTCCATCAGCTTCCTGATAGGCTCATGCAAATACAGCTATCTCTAAGTGAGCCACAAAGGAAGGAACACATACAGCATCGGATAACCATCTACAAAACTTTCAAATTAAAAAATCACCATTTACTTTGATAAATGGAAAAATTTTAAAATGACAATCAAACCAAACAGCATCCTATTTTAGCTGTCAGTAATGTCCAGAGATGAGAAACTGCCCTCTCTACCTGCAGGAAACCTATTATAATCTTTAGAGAACCACTTCTACTGTCATTTTTAAATTGTTTTGTGAGCCGATAAATAGGTTAGGCCATAGGAAATATGGATGACAGACAAAATTATGACAGGTCAGGATCAAAGTTTGACTTGCCTTTATACAAAAATATAAACTAACACATAAACACCACATATGTACTATACCCCAGTTTAAAAAAAAATTTTTTCCCCTATTTTCTCTTGTTTCGACTTCTTAAAGACAAACAACAGTAGATCCTCCATTAGACTGAATCTTTTTAATGGATAAATTTTGGTCAGAGCAGCTGCACATGTAATTATGCAAAAACAAAATTAAAGAACTTCCTTTCATTAAAATCATAAACCTAGCATTATAAGGCAGCAAAATTGACTTACAAATGAAAACTACCATCTATCTTTGTATCACATAAGCTATGAGGCAAAAAAAAAAAAAAAACATTAATTGGCTGAATGTTCACAAATAAAAACTTAAAATGATAAGCTCTACTTACTAGATTTCTATTGCTTTTGTAATTAAAAAGAATTTGGGTATAAAACATTTTACACAATTTTCTTTCAAACATTTGTGTGTTTGGAATACAGAAATTTCCACACAATAAAAACTAAACCTTCTGACCAATGAATACAATCTAGAAATGAAAGACCCAAAATATACATAGTAAAACAATGGATTCAAGAAACCAAAAGGGATTCATCCTTCCCTCCATTCTGAATGCTCATGTTACTGCACTGCTGAACACCTTCACACGGTTTTCCAAGTGGCAGGGGCTCTGGCAGCACGCATAAAAGAGAAAGCCGACAAAGCAGCCATTCCCAAGGATAGCTGGTGTGAGCTAAGCCTCCTAATGGCACTCTGAATATAATTAAAAGGGAAAGTAGGTAGGAATCTTGAAGACAAACAGATAGAGTTCATGAACAAAAACCAAACTGCATGGGAAATACTTCAAAGAATCAACAACTGGGATCTCATCTTATTAAAAAGTTTTTGTACATCAAAAGAAATCACCAACAGAGTGATAGAAAACCCACAGAACAGGAAAAAAAATTTTATCCAACTGTCCCGCAGACAAAGGACTTCTATCTAGAACATATAAAGAATTGAAAAAAAATCAGGCTCCTCAAATTCAAAGACCCAGTCCAAAAATAGGCATTTGAGATGAATATACACTTCTCAGATGAGGAAATACAGACAGCAAACAAATATATGAAGACATGTTCAACACCATTGGTCCTTCGAGAAATGCAAATTAAAGCAACACTGAGATTCCATCTCACACCAGAAAGGATGGCTATTATCAAGAAATAAACCAATAGCAAATGCTGGTGAGGTTGTGGGGAAAAAGGAATACCTCCACTGTTGGTAGGAGTGTAGACTGGTGAAACCATTGTGGCAAACAGTGCGGAGATTCAAAAAAAAAAAAAAAAAAACCAGGATTAGAGGTCTCATTTGACCCAGATATTCCCCTTCTGCATATCTTTCTAGGAGAATTAAAAACATCATACCACAAGGATATATGTGCGTCCACGTTTATAGCAGCACAATTTGTAACAGTTAAATCTTGGAAACAACCCAAATGCCCATCAACAGGGGAATGGATAAAAAAGATGTGGTCTTTTCATACAATTGAATACTACTCAGCTATAAAGAAGGATAAACTTGAGGCTTTTATAGGTAAATGGATGTAACTAGAGACCATACTTATAAGTGAAAAAAAACCACACTCACATGTGTAACATCATATTGTCTCCCTAGTGTAAGAAAGGTAAAGAGTAAGTAACACCCTGAATATACAATAGATACTGTGAAAGGGAAAGAAACTGCTCAAAAGGTAAGAACTGGGATGGAGGAAGAAAAAAATATATACATACATACACAAGATAGCTAAGATGATTATACTACTAATTTCTATTAGTTCACTGAAAAGAATAGTTTGTGCTTATATTGTTTGATCAGTTTTACATGCCTATATCTTGTAATCTGAGCTACTACTTTGCAGATAACAATATGCAATATAAGAACCATTGTTAATTTCCTATTATCTTGTTTTCAAATTCTGTATCACTGGTTTTGTTGGTTCTTTTTTTCTTTCTTTTCTTATTAAAATACAAAAAATCTACTAGAACTCCATTTACTGAAATCTCAGTTCTTCAATTTCACCTAAGATAGAGGTCAGACAAAAATGCATGCAACAGTAGCTCTCATGACTGGATAACACCCAGTAAAGGACTGTGAGCCCCAAGATTCAGGAAGCAAATGGGTAAACCAGACAATGGTTCCAGCTGAATGCCTCAAACAAGCTTCCAGGCTGCAGCATGAGGGAAGCAGAAAGATCTAGTGGTCTTGGATGAAAGAGATGCAGCTCACAATGCAGAGATTCCATAGGGGCTCAAGTTCACAGGGCAGAGAAGAATGAAGATTCAGCCAAAGACTGACAACTCTGGGGCTTTTTGGAGTCCCCCTTGAGTACTGATACTAAGTGCTCATCAGCAGATGCCAGTGAGGAAACTATCAGGCAGGGGAAAGAACCCTAAAAAGAAATAGAGAAATAATTCCCAAGAGTTTATACAGGGTTGAGAAGAGAGTTGTTCCTACCAACTAAAGTGCAAAATCTGAAGCATAAGGAAAAGTATTCAGAAGGAATTTACTTTAGCAATGGTGCAAATTTAATTCTAGGCTAAACACTGTTTGAGTATCATCTAAAATAGGTGGAAAGCAAGACTTCACTTCCACCAAGTACAGTAACTGTCAAAGATCAGAACAAAGCTCTGTAGTAAGATAAAATTTATAACATCTGGCATCTTACAAATAAAAATTACCAGGCCTGTAAAAGACAGGAAAATGTAACTGTAATGACAGAGAAATAATTCATCAAGAAGAAATATCAATCCTAAATGTTTGCACAGTATTAAGAGCTTTGAAATATATGCAAAAAATGGCCACTGCAAATGGAAATAGACCCACAATGATACTTTAATATTACATCACTGTTTTCTCAATAATTGGAGGAGGAATTTAAAAATCAGCAGTGATGTAGACTTGAACAACACTGCCAACAGATTTGACGTAGTAACTGGTATTTAAACAGTACTTCACTAAATAACAGCAGGACACACATTCCTAAAGGGTAAATGTATGTTTAATGTATTGAAACATTTACCCAAGAATGATTAAATTCTGAGCTGTAAAACTAGTTTTAATTAATATAAAAAAAATTAAGTCATAAAGACTGCTCTCCAGCCACGATGACATTAATATAGAAGTCGATAGGTAAAAGGTAGACGCTCCTCACACTGGAAA